CATTTACAAAAGATGGTAAAGATAAGAGGATGGATGGAGTGGAAGTTATTATAAATCCATTAACATTTTATGTTAACCAGACTCTAGACTTTGTTGAACACTCCAAAAAAACATAACTCTTTAAAAAATCATGGAAAGGATTTCCACATGGCTTTCTATTACAATTAAGCATTTTTGTCGCACTAACGTAATTTGCATGGGTTGGATCAACTCAATTAAATTAAGTTGGACTCAACTGTAGTAAAACAGTTGATTCATCATTAATTAATCAAGTTAGTCCAACTCAAGCACATTAAGTTGGAATAACAGAATTGCATAATGCTAAAATAAAGCAATTTAATTATGTGGGAATTCTTTCCATGATTTTTTTATGTTCATTCAAAAAGTTATTTTTTTGAGTGTTCTTTATGTACATTATAACCTCAGACTTATCAGAACCTGCGCCTCAGCTTCTACTTCTCTAAACGCTTTCTCCCTTCCGTGCATGTCAAAACCACAATGAGCGTGCTCGCATCTGTTTGGGAAAATCCAAGATCTCTGGAAAAACGATGTGAGCGTGAGAGAAAGAACGAAAGAATACGCACTGCCCAATTATCTCACTCCTTCTGCACCGAAAACACACTCATACACTTCTCTCTCTCCCACGTCGGACAGAAAGACCCCTGGGATTTTTTTTTTTTTTTTTGCCTATCGATGAAACTAAACACTCGGGCAGCAGAAATGGAAGAGCAGAGGGAGCAACAGAGGAGGACGGCTGGAGTGAACTCTGCTCATTAAGCCTTGAAATTCTCCATTCTGTCCACAAAGTCGAGGTCCCTCTGTTTCTTTTCTCCGTCGGAGGAGGATGCAGCTGCTGGGAAAGTGTGTGTGCATGTGTGTGTGTTTAGTGTCAGTGGATAAGGGTTTAAGTATGCAGTGAACTCAGAGCTGTGATGGTCATTCACAGCTGCTCCAAAACATCATACTGCTGGATCTCAAGCACACACACACACACACACACACACACACACACACACACACACACACACACACACACACACACACACACACACACACTAACATTTGTTCTGTATCACAGAAATATTTAAAGACAAAAACTTGTTGGCCTTCTTTTTTATTTGTTATTTTTCAAAGATTTCATGTTATGTTTTGGGCGCTTTCTTATCTTACTGTTTTAAAGAGCTTTCTGTTTGCTAAAAATGCATTTCTACAATGTTTTGAGTTTTCTTTTTAAAACTTGAAAGTATCAAATCAAAGCTGTGGTAATATAAAGCCCCTTAGTACCAAAAACTAGACCGCCTGCTGCTTTTGCAAGCCACTTTGAATTTTCTCCACTCAAAAAAAACTTAACCGTGACCCTTTTCCGAACCTAACCATTTATTTTTAATGATGACGTCATGTAATAAACACGAAACAAACACCTGCAGTTTCTGGTGTAAGTGACCGAATCATTTAGTCCATCAACACTGAAATGAATCAGTACAAGTCAAAAAGTACATGTAAAAATTACGCTCAGGAAACTGCATCAGTAGATTAGCGGTCGTGGCTAGGTCATGAACTGTGATGAAACTGCATTGACGTTCAGTTTGTTGTAGTTTGACTGTTTTTGTGACTTTGGTGTTTAACACGTTGTTTCTGAATTAAACTGTATTAACAGCTCTGCTAGGGCGTCAGGAGGTGTTAAAAACACTCTAGATATACGTGCAAATACTCAAACTACCACTTCCGTGGTCTCCCATCTCCTGTCCCTTCATGTGCTTCAGTGCAGTTTAGCTCACTTGGCTTTCTGTTTGCTGTTTATATCCGTCTGACTCTCTCCTACTCTCTGTTTGAATATTCATTGCTCTTTTAAGTTCGATAAACAAGCGTCTTCTGTTGTTAAATCTTGTTTCCATCAATTGCGTCTTATTAGCAAGGCCAGACCTTATGTTCCACATCGGGACCTTGGAAAGCTTATCCACGCCTTTGTGACATCCAGGTTGGATTATTGCAACTCACTTTACTTCGGTCTTAACTCTACTCTCTTCCATAGACTCCAAATTGTTCAGAATGCAGCTGCTCGTCTCCTTACTGGTAGTGGACGGCGTGTCTCTATCACCCGTGTCCTTGCTGATCTGCGTTGGCTTCCCGTTAAGTACTGCATCCGATTCAAAATCCTGCTGCTCACCTTCTGAATTATTAACAATATAGCACCAAGCTACCTCATTGAGCTACTTAGATCATACCCCCCTACTAGAGCATTAAGATCATCTTCCCAGTCACTCCTGGTACTGCCAAGATCTCGGCTGAAGACTAGAGGTGACCGCGCGTTTGCCTTGTCTGCACCCGATTTATGGAATAACCTCCCCATCGCTATACGTGAGTCTGATTCCATTCAATCCTTCAAATCGCGGTTAAAAACCCACTTATTTAGCCTCACCTTTTCTACCAGTTAATGCTTGCTTGATAGTTAGCTTAACGCTTATTCTTATCTTCGGCTTTTAATTCATTTTTAATTTTTTGACTGTTTGATCCTCTACACTTAGCCTTCTTTTATGCTTTTATATGCAATTCTTTTCCCTTCGTGTGTTTTAATGCCATTCAACCTGCTAGCACGTTTTGGTACCTTGCCATAGCCCTCATCCTTCCCTGTTACTTCATCTTACCCTCTTGCATGTTAAGCACTTTGGTACACCACTGGTTTTTAAATGTGCTATATAAATAAAGTTTGTTGTTGTTGTTGTTCAATGCAACAAAATTCACAGTGAAACTGGTCTCATGTACGTTTTTCTGTTTCTGTTGTCAGATAAGAGAACGTCTGAAACATCTCAAATGCAGCCCACAAACATCAGGAAAAACCAAACAAACTCAAGCCATTCACCAAACTGGTGGTTCTTATTGCTGAAACCCAGACTGTGTGACTGAACTGTTCTCTAACAAACTCTGCATTCTCAAATGTTCTGGGCTGGATTAAAGTTTGCAGAGGGCTGGATCTCGAGCCTTCAGCCAGCCTTTTAAACGTGAAGTCAGATCCTATGAGAGATCACAGATGGTGTCTTTCGATTTCCTCACATCGCATATTTCAGCCCTGTTGACCCAAATAAATGTGGTGCAAACATCTGGAGGATTGTCCAGCAGAATCCCAGATTGACTGCATTCTCTAGCAGGATTTTCCTGGATAACTCTGCCTTTGGAGACGTCTCAGGGTATATAAGAATGGTCCCAGTCATCATACGCTGAGCAAACGGATGTATATTTTTATGAATTATATTACAGGTGCATTATAGTCTTCACATGTTGAGTTCTTGGAACTAAATAATACTTATTCTTTATGAGTCAAACAACTTGTCAAGCTCTAAAAATACTTCTAATTTTCCAAACACCCCTGATTAGTAGGCTGCCACCATCACACCAGGAACAGCAAATTTAAGACATTAAAAATTAAGTTATTAATGACTTTGCTGAGACTTTTAGAGCTACCCTGAGAGCTGTAATAGAGCCACTGGTAAGCCTTTCCTGGACCCTGGGCTACATGTTTGACACCACTGTCTTATACCTCTGTCTAAGCTTATACAGTGATGTGTTTAGGGGTAAACAGTGACTTAAGGAAAAAGCTTTAACCATGATTAGTAGAGGCCAAAATCCAGATGCTAAAGAAGTACACTGTGCACTAACAGAATTCCTGAGGTTGGGCAAGAGGTGTCTTTGCAGGAAACCCTTAGACACCCCTCGAATTGGTGGGTGTGTTGCCAGGTTCCTTCTACAGAAATTATATTTGTGTGTCTAGACTGTATTAACTCTGTGACATTAGACGAACACGTGTACGCCAATTACACGAACAATGTTTGAAAGTTATGTAAGTGAGAGAAACAGGAAAACAGAGACTTTAAAATAAACATGAAACCAGAAAACTGGGAGTGTGGAACATCTGTATTACAGATGTGTCAGCAGTTTCCACATCTGTGAGCCTGCTAGGGCCCACTTGGGTCTGAGTGATGTACATTTTAGGGACTCCGTGCTCGCTGCAGTCTTGTTCTGAACGACAGGTGTCACTACTCAGAGAAAAACTCAGGCTTTTTGATTCAGCGCTGGATGCGAAGGAACTAAATACGATGAAACAGGGACAAAGCAATAGCGGAGTTCTTTTCAAAGTTTTCTCCTAAAAGTCTCCAAATTGATGTACCACAGTACTGTGGTGGATGTGGCTCAGGCATGAGAGAGAATGACAAGGGTTCAGTCTCTGGCTACTACAGCCTGCATGCTGAAGCAACCCTGTACAAGACAGAGAACACCTGCAAGTGTCACTAGTTTATTGTCCACAAACCACCACCTGAGAAGTGAAACGCTGGCCTGTCGACAGTCCTCCTGTGCATTTCCAGCTACTTTATCGCTGTGGCTTTCAAATGTATCTTCGCAAACTGGATGTGAAGCAATGCACAAAGAAGTGGAAAAAGTAGAAGGACAAATACGTTTGACTGTAAAAATGAAACAAAGAACGGGCACCCAGCCACCTGGACACAAGGTAACTAACGCACAACACACTAGGAAAAATACCGACAACGACGTCACCAACTTACGTACAAAGATTCACAGCAGAAGTCTGAAACAGGCCTGAGACGAGCTGCATGTGTATGTGCTTGTGTGGTTGGGCGAATGAGGCTTGTAGTAAAAAGTAAAATATAAGTACTATTCCATTTTTATATATTCATAAATAGTACACTTGACCTTAGTCTGTCCACGCAGCGCATTACAAAAATAAAGAGGTGTAAAACGAAACTACACCGAAGCTGTAAATTCACAATCATGCTGCTGTTCTCGACACTTCATTTGACGCTGATCTCCACTGGACCCCCCCTTCCTCATTACGGGTCCCCCAATAATAGAAATCCTGTAAGCACCCCTGGCCATAACAGGACTGTTACTCTGCTTCAGTGCAGCAAGTTTATGTCCCCGAACCTGCAAATAAACCCCGACATGACAGCTCTGCAGCGTGCACCATTTGCCCCATCGTCCCAGCTTACCTGTGTCCTGTCTGAACTGGTGCATGGACTGGAGATCTATGATGTAGGGCGAGAGCCGGCTGTCCACCTGGCCGAGCACCACGCTCCCTCCGCGGGGGTCGCTGCTCCGGATGGCCGCCTCTATCTGGTGGGAGACGGCGGGGCTGTAGGGCCGCCACCGGCCGTGTTCGTTCAGCCATTCCCACACCACCACGGCAGAGGCCAGGAGCATGTTGTTACTGTTGGCCCTGGAGGGGAGAAGCACAGATGAAACGACAAGAAAACAGTGAGAAGCAGCAGCGCCGTGGAGGTAAAACAGGAGGAGGCTGTTAGCCCAAATAAAGGCAAGCAGAGGCCAAAAGCGCAGCGAACGGGCTGAAATTCTCCGCTATAATCCCTCCGTTTCAGCCACGATCGCTCCCTGTCTGTGCGAGCCAGTGTCGTGATAAATAACAAAGGCCCGATCGCTGAAACGAAGCCAGGCTGGGGGACTTACATGGAGCCGAGGCTGAGCTAACGCCGGGAGAAGGCGGCGCATTCTTCCACGAAGATCCGAGCTCCGCGCATGGCCGCGGGGAGAAGGAAATCACGGCCCCAGCTCAGCCTGCCTTTGTTAGACCACCGACACGCTGCGCTAAAACACACTGACACACACGCAGAGCTCGGCGGCCTGGTGCTGAGGTTCCTGTGCGCTGGGGTAACTCCAGTCTCGGCCTCGGTGCCGCGTAAAAATAAAAAAATAATAAAGCCGCTGATTCCTTTTGCTGGGTGTAGACAGCAACAGCTAGTGTGTGTGTTTGTGGGTGTGTGTGTGCCTTCCTTCTGTAGTTTGGGGCGTTGCAAACTGAAACGTTGAGAAAGTAGTAGCTTCCAACAGCGCAACCTCAGAAAGAACAACTCCCAGACCCTGAACAGGTTCGACCGGTCCCTGATTGTCATTCAAAAACAAATAAACATCTGTTTATGAAGTCAGTGACAGGAAAAGTTGTATATGCACACCAATGATTTGCTCCCCACCCACTCACTAAACTTTAGCAGACACAGAGCTTTATGCGGGGACAGCTTTGTTGACTTTGGACATAAATGTGGATGAGAAGAATGAAACATCTAATAACTTGGTTATAAGCAATGGTTACAAACTAAACACACAGAGGTGTGAGGGCCAGAAGCAGCCCACAGAGGGTCTAATGCAGAACACTGCGTGGCTCCGTAAAGTGTGACGACTGCAGCGAAGTCTAGGAAAAAACGTTCTGCTGTGCTGTTCCTGGAGTGGTGATGTTGGAGACTGGCCCCATCCGGGACACTTGACGGTCTAATGTGACGTATTCCAGGTCACTTAGGCTAAACCTGTGCGTTATTTAAGGCGGTTAAAGTATCTCTCCATGTTCACTGTAGTAAAAACAATTCAGTTCAGTCATGTTACTGAATAACTAGAGATGTTTAAAGAATTATTCGTGGTTTGTTTCTATTTGGGACCCCCCCCAAAAAGAAAAGAAAAGAAAAGAACCACTAGCAGTGGAGAGTCTGCTTCCATAACTCACTTTTAAATGCTGGTTGACACTATGTCACTATGACACTATTAGCGACACTATGTTCATCTTAAATGGAAATTATCCAGATTATTAATGTCAACAAAATCTGAACCTGAGATCAGAGTCTGGTAATGTCACCATTGTGAATTTTGTGCATTTTGTTTATGACAAGAATTAACCAAAAATATCACAAATCTTCACCCACCCACCACAGTCTCGTGGCAGTGAAATAATCGTGACCTCTGTTGTTCATGTGTTCATTCATTGAGCAGATTCGTGCGTAGCTACAGAAAATAAACATTTTCGACTGTAAAGCGAGGCACGCCCCTATTGGACAGGATAGAGGAGATGCTGTTGTATTACATAGATTTGGTCACGTCAAATATGACAGTTCTAGTCCTTCACGTGACACTGCATTTGATTATTAGTGAAATAACAATAAAGGGTAGACACTGAGGAGAAAAAGACGGGGGGAGGCAGGTTGCGTGCGCGCACCTGTGCGTATTTGGCGTGCGCTGCAGCGAGAGCCAAACAGACTAAAGCGAGGATGAAGTGTTGATTCTGAGATTCTTTCAGCTGATTCCTGCTTCCCATGAGACTTCTGCTACAGTCGGCCATTCACGGCTGTATAAAGTGACCCCCAGGGCACCGGGAAATGACCGCTGGACAGTCTTCAACGCGCACGAGTGCGCACGCCAAAGATGCAGACACATGCAGACAAATGCACACATGCAGCTTCTGACTCTCCCTGTATGTTCTCTCGCTCAGACAGGCCACCTGTACCTGCACCTTGATTAGTAGATCAAATAGAAAAAAAAGGAAAAGGAGAGGCGGAGGAGAGATGGAGAGAATCCAAACGCCGATCCAGTTTTTTTGGTAGCTAATGCTTGAAATTCTGAAATAATTTTGAAATCTGGAGGAATGTCCACTCAGACGGACACATTTCACCAGCAGCAGGGGAGGGGGTCCAAAATAAAAAAAAAAAATCATATAAACAAGAAAACAAGTCCAGCAATAGACGAAACAGCTTTAACAATGTCGCCACGGCTCGATACTAAACCCACAATCACTTTATTTTCAGCAGCCTGCAAATAAATTCACAAACGCGATTTCTCATTCCTGCTTTTAAAAAGCATATTCTCAGTAATACTAGCTCTTCTTGTATCGCAAAGAAAAATCTAAAGGTTTGTGAGGGCAGGTCTGCCTGAAATACTCACTTTTCTACAGCTTTAATCTACGCACAAATGTTAGTACTTGTATAAAACACTCACCTGTTGATACGATCTTCTGCGTCCACACACTCCAAGACTTTCGGAACAAAATCCCGGTTCTTCATGAATGAAAATCTATCCTTTCGGCTCAACCATGGCTCCTTTCTTTCTCCCTCTCTCTACCCAACAAAGGAAAAACACTCTTCGCTTTCTTCTCTTATTTATAAATCTGAAAAATACACTATCCAAAAAGTCAGGAAGTAGAATCCATCTAAAGGGTTAAAAGTGGGAAAATGGTGCCTCCATTATGTGATGAAATTAATCTGGCACGTATCCCTTCGCCTCCATCTTCACTAACACACTGTGGTGAAAAACTATGAGGCTCCAGAGGGGACCCCACCAGCTCCTGCCCCCTCACTCCATGCCCAGAAACGCACCAGTGTGGACGCAAAGAAAGAGAACACATACAGCTTCAGTTTACTGACCTGCTTACTTTTTGTAACACGCGCACAGGTGGAATATGATTTCAAATGTAAAATTAAACCCTTTTCTATGTGTTGGGAATTCACTGAAATTTTTTTTAAAAGAAAGGAGTTTAGGAAAGTGGTTATCTTTGTGTGGGTGGTCGCACACTGCCGTCTAGTGGAGGACATGGAATGACATCTAGATTGTTTTATTTAAACTGAAAACATTTAAATTGAAATCACAGAATAACGAAAACTCAGTTGCACGTTTATCAACTTTTAGAAGCCGATTAGACGTTTTTAAAGTCTTAAGTCATTTCTCTTCATCTCTACGTCTCTACTTTTTCATATGTATGTTTCAATTAGCTTCCACTGATGACGTGTGTAACCAGGATTCAAAAATGTCTGTTTTACTTAATAATTATGTCGTAAAACATAATGGCGCTTTGGTTCTACAGATATACTCCTGCAAAGTCCGTTGTACTAACTTGACTCTAACTATTTTGGTAATACTGGCGGCTCTCGCTTTCGTCCCAGGCTCCATAGCTCAGGGGTTAGAGCACTGGTCTTGTAAACCAGGGGTCGCGAGTTCAAATCTCGCTGGGGCCTGTGAATCCTTTTCTGTTTTCATTCTTAGTTTAGTGTCTTGGACACTTCTAGACGACCCAGCAAGGTTCCCTAGAATTTAGCGTTTTCTTTCATCTCATTAAAAGTTAAGACCCAGAAAACCAAAATAAATTATTACAAAACAAAATTCCTACCTTGGTCCTATGGAGGACCACAAGAGCCACGCGCATCAAAATAAAGAATTCTGTGCTTATATAATGAATTGTAGAAGAAGTTCTTCGTCATTCGTTCATTCTTGTTAATGTAATGTAGCCTGATTCTCTGTTTACAAATCAGGTAGTGTAAAAATTACAATCAGAGAAGGTTGTTGTTGTGGTATTTCTGCGTCTGTATAAATGTATTTGCTGCATTTTGTAGCTGCATACAGTTTAGTAAAGGTAGCAGTTTGTAACAGGGAGCTAGCCAGCTACTCCCCGGTATTTTCAAACGCTTCAGAGCTAATAGACTATGTGCACCTTAGCATAAAACAAGAAGTTAGCATTTTCTCGTGCACAGGGTCTATTGTAAAGGCTATAAACACTGTAAACGACTCTGTGCCATTAACGTAGATCCGGACCAGTTTAAAACAAACAAACAAACAATATAATTATATGGCACGTGTCTCGTCATATACAGCATTTATGTGAATTCGTCCAGAGCCCGGATAGCTCAGTCGGTAGAGCATCAGACTTTTAATCTGAGGGTCCAGGGTTCAAGTCCCTGTTCGGGCGTCAGAGTTTTTGCTTCTTCACCGTTTTTCGGTCTGTGGCGTGTGTTTATAATAATAATGTATTCTTTATTGATCACCGTGGGGAAATTCCTCTCTGCGTTTAACCCATTCACTCTGTGAAGCAGTATGGCATCCAGCCACTCCCACCCCAGCTTTACACTTGTTAGCTTAACTTAAAAAACTTTAAATTTAAAACTTTGAAATTTTTGTATTTATTTCTTATACACTTCAGTTTATTTCTAAGAAAACCAACGACCTCCAGTATCTGCCTGTTGCCTTATCTTGGTGTCTCCAGATGTATTGAAGTTCATAGCTTTGTAAGATATGTGGGGAACTAAATAACTGAGCAACATGGATAATAACATACACAAAGACTTAACTTTTTGTTTTGCATTTATAAGCAAAATAGCAACAAATCATTTTAACTACTTGAAGGAAAAAATACAGTGCATTTAGCAACCCAACATAAGAATGCCATAAATAAGAAGTGGAAGAAAAACAAAGAATCTACACTTTATACACAAAATAAAAACCCAGACATACACACACAGGTTGTATATATACAAATGCAACATTAATACATTGAATCCATGTAATAGTGGGCATAAACTATCAGCTGTGAAAGTGTAGTTGGTGTCGGAGTTGAAGTATTACTACTATTTGTCATATATTTACGGGTGATGTCAGGATCTGGTCCGGATGGCGGTCTTCTTCTTCTTCTCCTTCGCCCGAGCTTTCCAGTGGGTGACACAAACAGCCAGTACCATAATCATGAGGATGAAACCCGTGATCATGCAGTACCAGTGATTAAAAAGAAACCGAGATAAACCTGAAACTGATGACAAACAGACAAAATAAAGCCGAGGGTGAAACATGTTCTGAGACATGAAGTCCTGCATCACCTCTGACTGGTTTTCTTTTTTTCAGTGTGAACAAGTTTAACTCCACATTTATTCCCGGAGACTTCTTAATATAAAAATGTGATTTACACAACATTAGAAAGAAATGCAGCTGTAAATCAAAGAAGTTCATCAGGTTAATGCTTTATCTCTTACTTGGGTGTAGTCTGACACTCCATGGGTCGTGTCATTAGTAAGAAGGCCGTAACACTGACGTCAGTACAGTAAAAAGTGAAATTTTCAGAAGCCAGTGAGTGGGATGAATTGGACCCTTTCCCAGACCAGTTCTGTCTACCAGGCCATGTCTGACACCCCCGTTTTAGACCACACTTCACTCGACATCTTTCTAAAAAACCTGTTCATGAATCCGTCTCATTCAGGCTGGAGTCCGAGCAAACGTTTAGAAGTTGCATAATTTCTCGATGTCCAGCCCGGTTTGTAAAATAGCTCCTGAATTAAATTTGTGTTTACATCAAGTACATAACCTCACCTTCTGTCCTGCTTGGACTTTGCAGGGGAAGTTTGTGTGGAAGAACTGACTCTGAGCTAAAGAAAAATTTCACAGTGAAATATCACCTAAAGGTTACTCTTACCCTGAAGCTTGGTTCCTTCCCCAATTTTTAAGTCTGAGTTTACGTAGGAAATACAGTAGTACAGCCCCAGGTCTCTGTCCTCGATACTGGAGATCATCAGTGCCAGAGAGCGGTTCACCAAATTCACTGTATAACGACTGTTGAGCTGAAACCCTAAAAAAAGAGTAACTTACTGGTCACCTGCTTCACAAAGTGAAATCACAGCCTTACACTCTCTGCATGTTTCCAACATTTTTAAGTGAGATGATCGGTCACCTTGGATGGGTCGTCCCTCTTTGAGGCTGGCAGAGAAGATCATGGTGGGAGGTTTATCTGGGTGATGCTTAAGCCACGTTGTGTCATAAAGATAGGAGAGGTTACAGCCCACGCTGGCTGTTGAACCCAGCTGGACGTGTTGGACCTCAGCAGCAGGAACAAGCAGCATCCAGAACCCAGATGTGATCAGTTCTGAAGGGGATCAGAGGGACACCAACTTTTAACGAGCCACACAGAGAGATCTCTCTCTGCAGTGTCCTTAAAATTCAGTTTTACTCAAGCAGTGGGAAAATGTTGAAAAACTGCAGCTCGTCTAAAGTCCACCTGAACCTTTCTCAGACTCTGAGTGAGTCCCCAGTGTCTCCTATATATATATAAATCACAGCACAAATAACAGGTTTACAACCTGGTGGAAAAATCTGCACCTGCAGCCAGCACACAGCTAGTTTATGCTGTTAGTGCCTGGGTCACTTTGAATTATCTGACAAATAACACGGCAGCTAATTGGCTTGTATGTGCATCCATACAGTTTATGAATGCAATCACATCTGTCTCCAAACAAACAAACATGATGGTGACAAAAATGCTAACTTGGCTTAAAAACGAATTCCAAACCAGCGGGTGACATCACTGCGGCTGTTTATCTGTCATACACAATCTATGACTATACACTCAAGGCTGCTGGCACAGAAACCATCTAACAGAAAAATATTTCCATTTGAAATGATTATCTTACTCAGTGGATGGAAACCACAGATTCACAGAACTGGACCACACTGCGGCTCATTTTCCTTTATTTTCTGAAGAAGTGTTTCAAAAATATTTCTCTGTATCCACAGTTATGTAAAAGTGTTGCTCATTTCACATTTATTTACAGTCTGTTCATCCAAAAAAGAACTCATTGGCTCTGATGGGAAGCACTCAGCAGATTCGTTTTCAGAAAGAGTTTTTTTTCCATTCGAAATGGTTAAAAAGAATATTTTTGCTGTTTAATCAATACATAACACCTTAATGCTTTTTAAGCATTCAGTCTTCAAAGTGTATTCAGGTGCATTGAGTTTTATGCAGTTAGTGTGTAATCAGAGTCTACTCGGAGCAAATTCATTTGACTGGACAGAGACTGGAAAGGTTTTCTTGGCAGTAGTTGTAGCCTCCAGGTTTCCTGGATTTCCACTTCTGGATTTGCATCTTTTATCCTATACTCCCAGCAGACCCACAGCCAGTTTGGAGGAGAAGCACCTATGAACTACCATCTTCACAGAAGAGCATCAGAATTCAATTAAAAGCGAGGAAAGGGGTTTTAAGATCATTAAGATGATTAATGTTGTAGATTTAAAATGTTATGCAGATGACGCTCAATTCTCTCTTTGAGACGTATATCCTATGAATCAGCTGGAGGAGGTCATGTTATTTTTGTGACTTGAGTGGAACATATCTGTGAGTTCTTGTATCCTGAGTCGGAGCTTGCTGATGTGTAATCGTGGGTGCTGTTTTCTGTTACGAGCAGCAGTGCAGTCTGACTCCTGAGTACTTCCTGATGACCCCAAGTTCTTTGATTCAATGAAAATATTTGAACTTTTCTCCTCATGAGCATTTCTGTAGTTTACTTTTTTTTGCTTTTTAACATTTAAAATATTCAAAAAACAACAATGAAACGTCCTGCTCCCATCACCACAGTTAGTACAACCACATCGAGTGTATGTCATGCCATCATGACTCCCTCTCTCATATCTGTTTGTTCATCTGACACAACTTTAACCTGCTGGAAGGTGAAATTTCCATCAGTATCATTGAAATTTGCCTCCTTCCTAAAGCAGACTTTTGATACCCCACAAAGCATTTTTCTTACTCACCAGTAAGAATCGATGTAATCCAGTGAGACCTCATCTTGTATCTATTTTCGTGTCCCTGAAGGTGATGATGTTAGGGTCTAACAGACCACTTCCTTTTCAGCTGCCAAGCCGCTGTTTCCACTGAAAGCCTGCTTCTGTATTCTCTTACTTTTAACTGCTTTCACTTCTGCTGTGAGGTGAATTTTCCACAGTAGTTTGATGCGAGTCTTACAATCATCCCATTGTAAGACTTGCATGGAGATCCGGGGACAGCCGGAAACATGACCTTGACATTAATGGCTAACTTGGCATTTAAGTTCTGCTTAACCTGTTAATGGTTATAAACTATTAAAAAAAATATTAGTATTTTGTTGCTCTGTAACGTATTTGGAACTAAATTATTGTAATAAAATGTTACTACACAAGTAAAAACTGCAATATTCTACTTTGATTCTGCATGTTTACATCCTAAGATATACACATATTCTCATGTAATCATCAGTTTTTTGTGTACATTTCATAGTCTGTGAATATCCCATGTTCATTCCTATTGCTTTTGCCTTTATAGTCATACATGTATTTGTTATTTTTGTGTACTTATGTAGGCATGAGTACATGTATCTGTATGTATATATTTACTTAGACTTTATACTTTTTATACGTCACTACATTTATCTGTTAATTAAATGTTGTGCACCACGTGAGGGAGTATAACTGTATGTTTTGTTGTGCATAATGACAATAAAGAATTGTGAATCTTGAACTAAAGACTGGAGTTTGAGCATGAGAAGCAGGCTGACATAAAGGGAAGTTAAAACCACAGAAATGGCAGAAATTCTAAGAACATGAACCCCGAGTACACAACAGCAAAACAACTGTCACCTCTGTGAGAGGACCTGAGGTGGAAAATATCATAAAGCAAACATTAACCAAAGGATCAGCGATCAGCTTGTTTTTAAAAACATTACAGGGGAGCATGTGGTCGAGCAGCGCGGTGGCGGGGGTGTCTCTTTCACAGGTCTGATATGACAGTCAGACCTTTGTTAGGTTGGATTTGGATTTTCCCGATCGTATGGGGAAGTGGGTCATATGGGGATTTTTCTTTTAGTTGGTGCAGGTTTATTTTGCCTGTTATGGGTCACACATGATAGTACAGGAAATAACAGATGGTCTCAAGTTAACAGAAGACATTTAGATGTGACTTTGGCCTCACACTGATGACCCAGTTTGATTAACTTTAAAATGTAAAGATGTAGCTGAACTGATTTTTTTTGCATTAAATAAGAAACATAGGAGGGCCCTTTGAGTCAGATTTTAACTGTTTGTCGGATCAATCTGTCACCAAAACGTCCTTCTATAACCAGACAACTGTTGCTAAACTCTGAGCAAGAAAGGAATATGTGCTTCTGGATCTAGCAGGACTCGACCGTGAACCCATCAGGTCCTCTGAGTCAGGACAAAAACCTTTGGAGAGAAAATGTTTACCATGTATCTCTGCAGATGTGAGAGCAGCTGGAAGTGATTCAGTCTTCAAACATAAAACTGCGTCATCCCAACTTTTGACTGAGTTTTGACTTGAAAAACATTATTTACCTTATTTCTTATTTACTTTCTCCAATGAAACAAATATTTCGGTTTCACTGTTTGTTTGTTTTTTACATTTTTTGTGTCTCTCATTGCAACTTACTGATCATATAAGTTTTATGATGGATCTTACTTTTAAAAAATGTATTTTAATTCTAGATTTTTCGTTTTTTTCTTCTTAAATCTATTTTCTTGTGATCTAAGTTCAGTAGCCCACAATCAGACCCTGCAGAGGAAGTGAACAACCACAGTCTTTCCAGGTAACCTAAAAATGCTACCACGGTCTGCGATTGCAATTATTTTAGGTGCTCATCCTGTGGTGTGTCTCACTGATCTGCACCACCTGTTTTAAAGGTGCTGTATGAATAAAGAGTGATTGACTGAAGATTTACAGTAAACATAACAGAAACGGGGAAACAAGACAAACAGGGAGGAACAGGCAGGGAAATGCCATGAGACTAAAATATGAGAGGATTCAAAAAATGGGAACCAGAACCTTAACCTTACAAAAATGAAAACTTGGCGTCAGTAGTGCTTTGATATTGAAGCCTCACACGAATAGATTCACAATGAAAACAAAACAGGAACCCCAAATCTAAAATAACAAAAGCCCACGATGATTACTCGCCACCTCCCTGCACCCATATGTCATTTGCTTGCTAATTAATTTAATTTGACTAAAAAAATTAAAAGTAAGTTCAAAATGTCAGTGTTCAGATGATCCTGGTCCGTTACTTCTTCCAAAACAAACACAGCTTGATTAATACTAGGAAACACGTTAACGGATTTTGCCCACACTACACCCAAGCTGGAAAATTGCATTTCACCACAAGGTCACAAGTTTGACACTGCTACTGAAATGACTGATAAATGACCAACAACTGGGTAAAACTGGATGAAGGTGATTCTCAGGTAACTTCTTTCCCCATTTTTGACAGTTGTTTGTGATCCTCTCAGGAAACCTGTGGCTCAGAAACAAATGGGTCACTTTGTGGAAACCCAAATGATGACAGACAAAACTGCAGCTGAACAATAAATACATGAGGACGAAGAGAAGAAACAGACATTTCAAACTCACATGCTAAATGTACTATACTGTACTAATTCTGGAATAATCACCAACAAATTACAATAAAATCAAAAACTTGAATTTAAAAAAGTAAACAAAACAGTCCAGTTGCTGATATTTCAAACCCCTTATCTTTGCTATAGTAGTATTCTAATTACTATGAAAAGTACAAAACATTCACAGCACAAAACACTGTTACCACTAAAAAGGCACAGATGCATTCTTTTGAATTGACTAACTGAAGACAGGCACGTGTACGCTCCACAGCCACTTTATTAGGTACAACTTGCTAGTACCAACTTAGCCCTCTTTTTCCTCCAGAGCAGAATTAATTTGTCATGGCACTGATTCAACAAGGTGCTGGAACCATTCCTAAGAAATTTTGGCCCACACTGACATGACAGCATCACACAGTCATTGCATATTTGTCAGCTGTTCCTCCATGTTATGAATCTCCCGTTGGAAGCAGCCATGAGAGGATGGGTACAATGCGATCATAAAGACCATGGTCAGCAACAGTAATTGGGTAGACTGTGGAGTTTAAACACCAGTCAGTTGGTACTAAGGGGCCCAACATGTGCCAAGCAGTATCCCCCACACCATCACGCCACCAGCAGCCTGACCTGCTGATACAAGGCAGGATGGAGTGATGCTTTCATGTTGTTTACAAATCTGATCCCGATATCTGAATGTGGCAGTAGAAATCCAGAGTCATTAGACCCGGTAACCTTTCCCCCCCTTGTCTTCTATTTTATAGTTTTGGGAAATTGCAGTTTCCTGATCTTAGCTGACTAAAGTGTCACCTCAGGTGGACACTTGCTTTTGTAGCTCATCTGCATGAAGGCTTGATCTGCTATGCTTTGAGAGGTGTTCTTGATTGCAATGAGTGGTTATTTGAGTAACTCTCGCCTTCCCATTAATTCAAAACAATCATCAAGGTAGTTTCTCCACGAGAAGTACCACTCACTGGATATTTTTTCCTGTCAGAGCATTATCTGTAAACCCTAGAGATGTTTGTGTGGGAATATCCCAGCAGATCAGCAGTTTCTGAGCTACTCAGACAGGCTAAACATGAAAAACAATTATTGTTTTTCGCATTTTGATTTCCTGCTGCTACGAAACTCCAGTCCTGTAGATGGCAGTAAAGGCGGGTTAGTAACACACCGGTCATACACTCAATAAGCAGTAGAAGAAGAGTAGCGCGGCGTATGAGAGGAACCCAAACAGCTCTCTGTGGTTGTTTGTCCAGGTCAGTAAAATCTGACAAAGCAATGACAGCCACCGCTGGTTGTGCATAAAGCTGCTTGAAGAGAGAAAATCACCGTACAGAGAAAACCGAGCGTCCGCCGGATGACGGAGCGTCCCCAGGTGAGGCTAGTTAGCTTTAGCCTGTTCTCGGTGTTTTTATTTAGCCTGTCAAACCTGCTCGCAGCCTGACGTGTCACCGCACTGACAATTAAATGAAGTTAGTGACACTTTAAAGACTCTAAAAGACCATCTGTGGGACTAAAATCATCTCAGGGAAAGCTCAGCGCTTCTGTCACGGTAACACGTTTATTTGTTTCGGCTAACGTGGGAAGTGAATGAGCTCCGTCCCTGTTTTTTTTTTTTTCACGCCGAGGCTTCGTAGATCGAGTAAAATAAGACAGAATTCACGTGTCACATTTAACGGGTTTAAACTGAAGATCAGCCGCGTCGTAAGCGTTCACTTAGCCGGGCCGTGTTTTGCTCGGTGGAGCCTCAGCTAATGTTTGTTTGGTTCAGTATCTTTTGCGGTTATTCACACACGGCTTGGTGTTACAGCCAATCAGCTGCAGCAGAGTGAGACGAGGCTGGAGATAACTTCTGTTCTCTCCTTAATTATCAGCTGGTAAAACATGCTGGGTTTTGTGGTTCCGGTGTGTTGTGGTCCAGTTGGTTAAATTTGGAGTGCGCTCACAGTCTGAAGATGTGTTTGAACTGACTCAGCTGATGCTGTGTTTGAGTTACACGCTGAACAAGCACATTTTCAGAAACCTTTGAAATGAAGCTGCATTTTGGCTGTTAAACTTTCCTATTTGGGCACCTGGTATAGCAGAACATTCATTAATAAACGTGTGGATATCCAACCTGGGATTGGCAGTGTAATAGCAGCAACAAAAGCACTGCTGAGTTAATTACAATGTTTTATTGATATTTAAAATCATTTAAAGTTTCCATCGGGTTATTTTGTTTTGCATAGTGTCATTTTTAGATTTTAGATCTGATTAATTTAGTCTAATCTGCCCTTCATGTTCGTCTGGTTATGCACCTCTGGACGGCTCCCAGTGCTGCTGTTAGGAAGTCACATCCTCATTAATGAATGAATAAATACATTTATTTATGTTCTGCAGAGTCACAGAACATTGCATTTTGTTTTCTTCCCAAATATAAAAGTATGTAAACCTGATTTCTGTACAAACCAGTATCCTACATAAATTTCCAGTTATGAATTTGCAGCAAAGTGTAGTTTTCACATTCTGCAAAAATGTTCCCGTGTTTGTAAGTAAAGTGAATTGAAACACAGCAGAC